TGTCAGGACTTTTTTCGCAATCACTTGTTCCATGAATTTCGAGAAAAGAGAAGCAAAGGAAATGGAGCGGTACTTATTTAGATAATGGAAGGAATCCTGTTGAAGGGGGATGAAGACATGAACAGTACTCCAAAAGTTGAGAAACACTGTTCGATTAGGGGAATGAAGAACAGAAAGAAAACGAAAGAAAAAAGTGTAGCGTGAACCGCCAACTCTTGAGCACGCCATAAACCATCCGGACAGAATGCTTTTGATGTCCGCTGAACGCTATACTAATAGGATAAGCCTGCTTTTGATTTTAGGATAAAGTATCGAACCGAGCAGGATAGTGAGCAAGGGAAGAGTGATACTTGTCGGTAGATTAGATCTGCAATTTAATGACGGGGGGGGGGGGTTAACCACTTCCACTTAGCTTTTTGGAGGCGTTCAAGAACCGAATCTCCGGTGAGGCTTACAAGCGGGGAAAAAGATGAATGCCCGGGAAAACTGATTTTTCGAAGGACCAAAACGAGGAGTTACTCGAAGTATAGTTGGCGAACTTGATAGTCTTACGACGAGAGAATTAACCTCTGGATTGAATGCTCGTCCTTCCTGTGTTCCCAGTTTGTACTAAATCGGAGGAAGGAACTTTAAACTTAGGAACAAAGATCAACGATTTCCTTTCCTTTCTGACTACGCGGAAACAAACATTTATAGCGGCAACAACAACAACAATAACAACAAAAAGACATTATTCGGTAAGTATGTAAATCTCACATACCTTGGAGCATTCAAATTGGTCGCGGAGGAGACGTACAATTTGCCCACCTTTGAGTTTGTCTCATGTTGGTTCAAGATTGGCATTGAACTGCCCAATCCCGAAGTGATATCCACTCGGCGGCTGGTTGGAGCCGGGAGCGTTCCACCCCGACGCATACCACTTGGACTGTGCATGGCCGGCGGTGGCAAACCGGATCGGGCAATGACCGAGGCACGTTGCGTTCGGGACGAGACAGGTCGAAGATCGGTGGAACTGGTACGTTGCATGTGTTTCCCGTGAAGCATCGCATTTGCCAATCGGTCTACGTGTTGAGCCAATGCCTGTAAGATAGAGATCGAAGGTGAGGGATCCGAAGTGTTTATCGAATACAAGGAAGCTGTGCTGATCAACATTAGAGAATACAATGCAAAGCTTGATACTGTCGTTAAACAACGAATTTACCCATTTTCAGTTCACATAGTACAACAGAAATTGTATTCAGCTTAAACCTACTTCATTCTACCATTTTCTTTGGCACAACATTGAAGTGTTTTTCAATAAACAAAAACACCGCTGGCTACGAAAATGAATCATCCTATTTGTTGACCATACCAGGGATGAGCGAAACGTTTTCGGATACGCAGTGTACACGATAAGTATGAGGTGCAGATAACCAGGCAAGGAAAACGTGGACTGTCAACTATTGTGAATATTGTTCAACGATTGCAACTCAAACAGAACCAAAGGTCAACACAACAGAGTATAGCACAGCACAACACAAGTCATAAGATGGTCGCTATACTCGGACTGTATGGATGGAAATCAGTCGATTTCGCTGGAAGACGATTTTCTACG